ATATTGAATAGAGTGGATTTCTTTTTAGCTGAGATGTTTAAAGCAATGCTATTAATAATGCTGTGTATAACAACTGCTTTTATTTATTCATAAATACAGCACAAACATCTTACTTGTCAAAAGAAAAGTGTTTTCTTTTATTATAAAAAGATAATTAATTCAGGCTGGATAAACTTAATGGTGCATTTGCCATCTGGACAAAAGCAAACAAAACACCAGAATAGAACTGTGTGAAGAAAAAATAATCAAAATATGGAATCACAATATGCGCTTAACTCTGTTTTTATTTCTTTAACTACAAATAATTTTCCACCCCAAGTATTATGCCCGTGCTTATTTGAAAGAAAATATCAAAGGCAACAGGGCATAGAATAAATACACAGCTGACTGTAAACAAAATTTCAGGTGATTTCTTCCTTTTTTGTGTTTTACACATCAGTAACATAAGCAAAATATTTTATAGGCTCTGCATCTCTTCTCATCTATACCCACAGGGGACAGAAACTGTTATAAAATAAAATAATACAGATAAAAGTGCTTTGTGAACTTTAAAGAACCATAAAAGTGTAAGAGGATTATCATTTCCATCAGCCTGGTGTGTCCTCAGAGAGCCACACTGGGGCTCTCTGACGTTATTAAATCAACTCAGAAAACTGAACTTGGCTGATGATCATGATCTTTCAAACCGTTGAAAAGATAGGACTTGTCATGTGGAGCCATCACTGTGCTGACATTCCGGTCTCACCTTTAGGCGCTTAGCTGTCACTTATTCAGAAATAGTGCCCCTTCGTTACCCTGTCCCTAAACGCATCAGCCTTTGTGTCCTCTAAGCCACTATACAGCGTAACCCCAGCGCCCCTGAATCTGTGTCACTGGGCTCTCTCCCATCACGCCCGCCTTTCCCCTTCCACTTCCTGTTTTAACTCTACCCTGTCCACAGTAGCTGGTGCCTTCCTCTACCCTCTTTCTCTGGATGAGAAGGACTCACCTCCATCATATCAAATAGTTCTTATTAAAATGGGATTTTAAAGTCTCTTTCAAGAAGGCTTCCCTGTGTTAAGATGTTGACCACTGCTCCATTCTGATTGTCCTCACATTACTGTTGGCATTTAGCTAATTAATGATGAAAGGGGGAGCAAAGGGACTTAGATGTTGAGTTTAATAAATTGGGGAGCATGAGCTTGTTTGCTCCATCAGAAAACTGCAGGTCCATGCTCCAAGGGACCACGGCATCACTCCACCAAGGGAATAAACACTCCTCCCTTCTCTCTTCTAGTATGGGATTGTTGGGGGGGCACAGGGGAAGGTACTTGACCAAAGAGGCCCGTCAGTCTGACCAGGGGGAGTGGACCCATCCAAAGCTTACAAAAGTTTGGGAAATTGGTCATTTTGAAAAAGCACCTGGTTCATTCCAAGCCCAAGCTAATATAATCTGAGGGGAACAAAGAAGTGTTTTCTCTCTCTTCCCACCCCCACCCTGAAACCTGCACTCTCACTGTGCACTTATGCATCCCCTCTCTCCATAGCCATGAGCTCTTAGCAGCTGGATGGCCCACAGCCATGTGGTCTCCACACGCAGGCTCCAGGAGGGAGCCCGAACACTGCGGCACGGCAACGGACCACAGCTGGAAACACCTGCCGAGCTGGCCGGTTGCTGGCCTGCACTGAACTTCAACGTGGAGCAGAAACTCTGGGCAGTGGCCCTTATTCCGGCCCTTCTGAAGACAAGATTGGACCTTTTCCATGGCAAGATGGAGGCAGCTGGGTCATTGGGAAGTCAGGAGGGGAACCTCCTTCATTTAATGTCATCAATAAAGTTTACCACAAAGCCCCGTCTTTCCATGTGAATCTCAGGAAATTCTTCTGCTTGTGATACCACAAGAACCACCAGTAAAACTCAGAACCCAGCAGTGGGCTTACATGTTCATCCCCGTGACCTCTGTCTCTCATGTCACATGTACAGTAAGCAGGTTTGTTATTGTTGACAGTGAGCAAATAATTAAATACATGCTGAACTTCATCTCCATTCATTGTTGCACGGAATTCATTCAATGACTGCAATTAATGAGGCCCATGCAAGATGATGTTGTTAGAAATAATTTTATTGTCCTGGGATTTAGTGGGAAGGAGATTTTGACTTCAACTCTTCTCTAGACACTACAAACAATGCCTCCTGTATTTTTCATACATGAGAATAACAGTCTCTTTCTTTTGGAGTGTTAAAGCAAAATCCTTACCAGAGCCCATCAGACCAGATGATTCTTACCTGACAGAAGATAGTGATGATGATGGAGGTGAACCACCTGGAGCGTGACAATGAAGATAAAATTCTGAAAATGTTGACAAGTTTGTAAAAACTGAATGTATAATTTTTGATTCTGCATCTGTGTAAAAAATTTCATCTTCGGTTCTTCTCAGAGTTAACTTCTTTTGAAATCCAGCATTGAAGAAATAAAATATCACAGCTCTTCATTAATGATTCATTAATTTTTCTCCTGTGTTGCATCAGATAGATTACACAGACTTTTCAATGAAGCTTAAAGTTTACCTTGCATAATTATTCTTCTTAAAAACCAAATTAGGTCATCAGACACACTCAGAAGCATTGAACCAAGTATCTATGGAAATGGGATTGCCTCTGGGCAAAGTATTTACACATGACATATGTGTGCCGACCATGACTCACATGTGAGTGCAGAAAGCTTACAGGAAGCCTGATAGAACACAGATGGAGGAACAAAAATGCATTCCCTAGTGCTTCTGTCTGGAGGGAGAGAATATCACTTGATTTTTAAAATATTGCTTGATTTTCATGTTGTATATGTCACTTTCTCCTTGTGAACCATCGAGTTTGATGGCCATACTTAGTAACACATCAACGCAAAAGCTTCTCTCACAATGGCAGCAAAACAAAACAATTCCATGTTGATTCTCTGTTCTAAGGTAAAGAATAAGACTATAAAACTAGACCTGGGCTTTAAAAATCTCTGGGCTCACCAATCTGTCTCGTACCTGTCTGCGCTTCCGGGTCCTCTACCTTCTGGTTCTTTTTGCTTATTGTGGGAGAGGTGAGAAATAATATGTTCCTGTACACCTTTTTCTGCATTTAAAATGAAGATAAGAGTAGCACTTTGGACTGTAAACCTGATTTTTATTAGCTTTACCTTTATTATTTGAGGTTCTAAGCCTACGGATTTGTGTTTTATTGTGTGACGCATGGCAAACACGTTTAGCATTTAGGGCAGTAGGTGAGACATAAACACAGAATCTTTGTGTTTTCAGGCCAGGACTTTTCAACCTTTTTAACCTCAGGGCACACGTGAACTAATGACTCAAATTGTGCGGCTTAGCAAAAATTATGTACTTTTTGGCCAAGCTGACAAAAAGTCGATTTTATTGCAATTCATTCACACCAGGTGCCTAGTGTTGTGTTGGCTGTTGTCATTTTTTAAAATATGACAATCGAATGGAAAAGAGGTCCGTGCCCCTGACTGAATGGCCACATTTTGCATGTTCGAAAAACTCTTGCGGCGCACCAGTTGAAAAATTGCTGGTCCAGACAAATGACATTGGGCTGCTTAATTATTGAGGGCAGCTCAAGAAGGGAAAACTGTGAAACAAAAATGAAAGACTAATTTCGCTAAAAATACAAGAATGAAAAATAAAACGTAGTGTTTTACATCATCACTTGATTCTAAAGTTAGCTAAGAGTGTTCTTAAGACTGACTGAATTGATTCATGTTAAATAACTAATGAAAGAGGGATTCTAATTTTGAGAACTGAAAATGCCAAGTTTTAAAACCGTTCTATGACCAGAATAGATAATCGGTCACCATAAAATCTTATGCTGACGTGACTGCCATTATCATTTTTATTCCCCATCCCCACAAACACTGCAGGGAGGCTGACTTTTGTCTAAGGGTTGGATTGAAAAATTATAGTTTAAAATGGTGACTTTTCCCTACTTTTCAGCAATAGAAAACTAAGGGGGGGATATATATATACATTTTAAAAATTCCATCTCAGATAACATTTTAAAAAACACAAAAACAAGCAAACAAACAATTGCCACTCTCCTAATCCCTAAACTTGGAAGTGTGGCTGCCAAATACTATTTGTCTGGATGGAGATCAAAAAGCAAACTGATAGCCAAACCACATGACTCTTTGAAAGTCAAACAGAATACAGATTTCTTCGAAATTATCTTCAAAGAAATTTTGAGGCATACATCGATTAGAACGATGAAGGTGTGTGAGCATAGAAGGGGCACCGGGTGGTAAGGGAATGTCCCAGCAGAGAACCAGTCTGTCCAGCGACATGGACAGAGAACAAACCCACAGATCAGCCCCCACCCTACAGCCAGTGTCTCAGTGCAGACGGCGAGAAGGGAATTGGCTGAAAGAAGTTTGTGATGAAACAAGAATATTTCGCTTGAGTCACAGTTCACTAAAAGTGAGCTTGCAAATTTTAGACAGTGTATTGCAAAAACATATAAGCAATTATTTCATGTCAGAAAGTGTTGGTGCTAACAAATCAGTAGATAATTATACAAATATGGCAAAAATTGAAAATGAAGTACCTGTACTTGGGAAAACATGAAATACAGACATCATTGTACTTTAGCATCCCATAGTAAGTCCACTTCTCAGTGAAGGTTTTATTGCCACCCCCACCTAAGATTTATTGATGCACATTATGTGCCAGATGTTGCAGTTTCTTTCTTTCACAGTAGTTCTTTTTACGTCAGTAACTGAATGAGGGAGGGAAGCCCTGGTTTCACACCTCGCTCCTCCTCTCTCATTGGTAGTCAGCCAACTCTTCCTCCAGGCGCCACGCCCCGTGGAGAGGTAAAGAAAGGCTGGCAGGCATTGGCCGCACTGGTTGGAACCTACCGTCTACCTGAACCAGGGGTCCCAGCCCAAGTCCTTGTTACATACTTTGACTCTTACCCTCAAACAAATGTCCCCTATTTTCTTACAAGAAGCAAAACGTCAGGGCAATTTCAAAGGATAAAACATGTACACAATTTTATTCAACATTTAATATTACGCTACAAATATGTACAATTCAGTAATAAGTTAAACATAAATGAACAAAATAAGTCTGCAGGCAGTTCATAGACACCATGTTCCTCAACGCCATTTTTTCACCTTCATTTCTAAGAGTTCATCTGACCCACAGTCCTGATGATCTTCCTGCCGGAAAAGCTTGTTTTGGCGGCACATTGGAAATGCAAAGTGCTCTGTGGCCTCTAAGCAACAGCAAGCCGTTTGTGAGCGACAGAAGCGCTGCAGAGGATCATTGCGATGGCGTGTTGATGAACATTTGCACGATGTGCGTAAAACTCCCCAGAAACTCTTTCACGTTTTTTTCCTCCAGTTCCTCACATTCTTTGCAGCCAGATTCAGTGATATTCTGCCAAATGAAAAGAAAAGGTTAAAGTGTGGAGTCTGACGTATTTCTCTCCTGGGAATGTTACACCTATGGAACCTTATAGTGAGTGAAGTCTTGAGAAAGGAAAACTTGGGCGGGTTAATATCCTAGTAGGAAGAACCAGGAGATTCGATGTGGGCTTATTATTCTTATAATGGATTAAGGACACTGGATTAAGGACACTGGAAAACATGCCGCATCTATTAGACTATGGACTTTCTGCTTAGAGCCCAAGGTTTCTGGTCATCCACGCTGGAATGAAGTCCACGCCTTCCAGCAGGGCACGCAGGCCCTCCCGGAGCTGTCCCTCACTTACGTCTTACGCTTTCCTCACTGCCGCAAACATGAGGCCCTAGGAACCCTGAGCTTGTGCCTCCACCCCCCTGCACAGGCCGTGTGCCTCTTCCTCGGTGCCTCCCTGCCTTCATGTTTCTCGGTCTGTTCAACGCTTCCTGTGTCAGCTACTATGACTCACACCCACGATGACTCAGCAGCTGTCTCCCCAGGATCTTTCCTGAACCGGTGAGCTCCTGTGATCCAGCTAAAAGTGCCATTGCTACATTCTCACCATCCCCGGGTTAGATTCACCCTCACAGCACACATTACACTGATGTTAGGGAATTTTATGCTTTCTATACCACTGTTCTCTAAATTCTTCCAGGACAGCAAGGCCATGTATTTTTGCTTCCCTAGCATTTGGCATAGGGCTTTGCACACGGTATTCACACAATCGTTACCGGCTGAATGGAACTACTTAGGTGAAGACCACAAAGTGCTGTAATCCCAACACAGTTTCGTGGATAACTAGAATATTCCAAATGTAGCATAATATTCCAAATGCAGCATAATATTCCAAATGCAGCATAATAAAACACACTTTTCCAAAGATCATCTGAACCAGGAAATATTCCAAATGCAGCATAATAAAATACACTTTTCAGGGATCATCTGAACCAGGAAAAGCTGTACCAGGAAAAATCAAAATTAGATTTTATATCCATTAAGCATTTGAAATTCAGGTCCAGCAATATTTATCAAGCACAGATGCTATGCCAGGCACTGGCCCCATTTCATATTGCACTGCCTTCTTTGATCCTGAAAACAACCATGTCAGACAGGAAAGCAGAGATGTCAAAAGGCCTGTCACGGTTGACCTGATCAAGGAGATTTCCCACAGCCAGGTCTTCTGACTGTGCAGTCCTGGCCACTCTTTCCCCTACATGTACCACACTGTGTCATGATGTTGAAGGTGACTGTGAGAATTGCATAAAAGAGTTGACCATTGATACCATTATGAATTATTAGTAAGATAGAGATAACAGATCATGAGAGTATTTTAAACATGAATATATTCATTTCATAAATATGTCAAGTACCTAGTATAGGCCAGGCTTTGTTCTGGGAGTTGGGATACAGCACTGAAAAGAAAATTTAAAAAACCTTCCCCTTTGAAGCTGACCTTGTACTAGGGAAACGCAGAAAATATTCATTATGTAAAATACATGGTATATCAGGTAGTGGGCATGCTGACGTGGACCATGGCCATGGGACTGTGTGACATCACTGAGAAGGTGACATTAGAGCAAGACTTCAAGCAGCCCAGAAATTTTAGGGGAAAATCCCAGGTGTCCAGCCACACCAGTTTAGGGGCCCTGCACTTGGAGTTGCCGCCACCGGAACACGCTTCCCAGACCTAAGGCTCGTAAGCTCACGTCTTTACCAGATGTCAGCTTAGTAGGTGAACCTTCGCTTAAGTAGAATCCCAGCGCTTTTTCCAGCCTTCTTTGGGGCCATTGGATTTAGTAAGTAGCTGACTTACACTCACTGGCTTATCGATTGGTTTATTTAGGCTTCCCCCTCTACAGAGCAGGAACCATCTGTCTTTTTTTTTTCATTTCCATTTTCCTTGAGGACCTAGATACAATAAGGCCCAAAAAGTGTTGGTTAAGTTAGCCCTGGCTGGCGTGTCTCTGTGGATGCAGCTCTGGAGTGTGAAGCATAGGGTTGCCATACATGTAGGGGCGTGGGAGAGGCAACCGCACACAGATGTTTCTCTCCTTCTCTTTCTCCCTCCCTTACCCTCCTCTGTCTAAAAATAAACAAATGAAAACCTTAAAAATGATTTGTTATATTAATTAATTATTATTATGGCTTCTTTGTTCAGAAAACTTCTTTGCTTCCACTATGATTTGGCCACCAGTGTTTTGCCATGAAAGCCATAACCATACCCGTCACACCGCAGGGCCTTTGCGTGGCTGGTTCCCCCTCCCCCGCCTATTATGGGAGTTCCCAGGATTCGCCCTCCTGGTACCCCATATTGCTCATGTTGCCTGCCATCACCTAAATTATTAATAATTAACACTCAAGTTTTCATATTTCTATTGTTACCCCTTTGCAGCATTTATCCTTTCAGCAGATGAGTGGACAGACTCAGAAGTGAAACTGTTTGGGCCTGCCGCCGGCAATCCGCCGGCCTCCCCATTCTCTGAGCTGCGGGAACTGGAGCTCTCCGCGCTCAGCTCCTTCCGCCTGGCGAACAGTCAGAGGTAACAACTACCTGGCAGAGTTCTGGCGAGGACTCGGCCGGCGGATTGCCAGCAGTTCGACCCCTGAAGACTGAACGTGTCTGGCACAGCATTAATCACTCGATAAAGGGGGACTACTATTATCCACGCCAAACCCTTCATTATGCAATGAGATGAACGTCTGTGCACTGCACCTGGTGATCAGCTTCGTGAAGTCAGCGACCTGACAGGCTGACCCCGGGCACTGTGGCACCAAGCACACAGCCTGGCGGCGTGTATCACACGTTTGTGAATGGATGAGTCGGTGAGCCGTTTAGGTCCCTGATGCTGACTCTTGGGAATGCCATTCCCCTGAAAAAAAACTCCCCTTCCCTTGGGAGGACCTGCTTGCCTCCCAGCATCATGACTTCCACCAGCCGGCCCAAAGCATCCGCTATGAATGACTCTGTGGCTATTGGAGAACTCACCCCATCGGAAGGTAAACTGTTCTTTACTAGGAAGATAAGGTTATTTATCATCTGCCTGATGCCCTCATCGTTGGTCTCCTGACAGATAACGTGGAACTCCAGGAGAAAGCACTTCATCGCTGTGACTTTGCAACTGGGCTGAAAATAGAGTTACAAAGAACGGTTTTGGAAAGTGAATTATTTCCCCAGTCTCCATTTTCACATAGATGCAATTTTGATTTTTAAAAAAAGCCACTCCAAATATTTTTAAAGAAACACAACACCCCTAAAAAGTTTTATATAGAAAGCAGCTTTGATTTTTTTTTTTTGGCTTTGAAATCGAAACCAAAACAAACTGACTACAAAGCAACAAGAAGGATGGTGATATGTGGAGAAGAAAAAAACACGAAACTGGAAAACGTGGAAATCATAGGCGACCTTTACTTACCGAGCACATCTCTGTGTGAAAGGGTAATGGCGCTGGCCAAAGACTCGGACAACACTATCACTGATAGTGGGAGGAGTTTTATAGTTGGGTTGCACTGTTAACATGTTAAACAGCGGGAGCTGCCTATCATGTTATACCTGCAGGTTCCAAAGTTTCAGAGGCAGGTGTGATTCCATGAAATTTATTAGCAAACACCAGAGCAGGGTAGTACCTGGCTGGCCAAATCAGAAGCTTACCTTTCAGGTACCACAAAAACACATTTTCCACAAGGGTTAACCTCAACAATGGCCTAAGCCGAAAGGAAGGACACATTTCAGGAACATCTGGGCATTCGCCCACCTAGGCCTTGCTCAAATTTGTGTTCTCCACACCTAGTACAGTGCGGATCCCAGTGGGCGCCGAGTGTGTGCTTACTGCCGGGGGGTGAAAGAAGGAACACGCTCATGGGCCTGTGTCTGGCAACCCAGCAGCCCCTCCTCTACCTGTGGTTTCACTCTCCCTGGTTTCAGTTACCTGCGGTCAACCACAGTGTGAAAATATTAAAGGGAAAATTCCAGAAATAACGCATAGGGCATGGCTCTCTGATCCTCCCAATGCATTGCCAGAAGGTCAACAGTAGCTCAGCACTATGTTCCCATGGCTGCGCCTTCCACCCACTTCATCCGATCACGTGGGCACATCTCACACCACCACGAGAAGGGTGAGGACAGTACAATAAGACATCATGAAAGAGAGAGGCCAGTACATTGTTGTAACTGTTCTATTTTATTGTTACTTGTTTCTGGTTTGTTGTTACTCTCTTACTGGGCCTACTTTATAAAATAACTTTCACATGTGTATTTAGGCAGGCACGGGAAAACACAGAGTATGTAGCAACGTCAGTACTATCCACGGTTTCAAGAATCCACTGGGGTTCTTGAAACGTGTCATATCGTGCAAGGATAAGGGGAGACTAATTCCTTTCCCCCCACAGCAGCTACTCAGGAGCAAAAGAGCAAATGCTACCACAAGTTGATAATAAAAGAAATACTAAATTTAAAAAATCATAAAATAAATAATAAAACAGGTCCAGAAATGTTTAGTGACTTCCAAGGTAATACAGCTAAGAAGTGGCTGAGTCAGGATTTAAATCTCAACTTCAATCTCAGCTTCTTTCTACAACCCATGAGTTGCAAGGTTATCTTCTATGCAAAAAAAAAAAAAAAAAAGCAATCTCAAGATGCTGAGTGTTGGTGGTTAACTGCTTTCTGCTTAGGAAAAATGCAAAGAAAAATAAAATGCACGCAGACGCTGAAGGAGGGAGGCAATTTCTCTGTGCACAGCACTAATCTAAGTGGTTGATGAACGTCTGTTTTTTTTAGTGTCTGGCTGTGGCTTCCTTCCAATGTTTAGAAAGTCCTTCTATTTCAGGGATGTTCTAATTGAGGGATAACACAGAGGACTCACTGTTCCAAATGTACATAACACCGAGTTTGTGTGCAAGAGGTGAAAAAGTCAGGAATTTGTTTCTTGATTTTTAGTAACCAGTTCGGAGGGAAAGAACCAGCAACATGACAGAAATCATGGCTTCTGCAATGCCAGTGCAGTGTATTAATGTAACAAGTTCAAGATTAGTTTTGAATTTAATAGGTTCTCTGGATTGTGCATATTTCTTTTCTCACAGATAGAGTGAACAGCCAGAACCCTTTACTGACAATTGTAAAGATTCATGCCACGCATGGACTATAAATGCAGGTGAGCAATTTGTAGAAAATATGGTTAAAGGTGGTAATAAACTACTGCCCTGGAAACAACTGACATTTTGGATAATTTTAAATGGAATCAGTTAACATGATTCTTGCATTAAAGTGTATCAGGATCTAATTGCATCCCCAAATTATATAACATAGTTTGCTTGACCTTGATGGAAAAGGCTTTTATAAATTTTATAAGAATAGCACCTGTGTACTTCTTTGTCCCCAAATCACATAATCCCAACAATTACTTACGAAGATTCATTAGTCATATAAGAACACACTAAAATGTACATTTTAAAACTATACATATTTCAGTACATTTATAAAAATATACTTCTTAAACTTCCAAAACTGGAAAATATAGCAATTTTGGAAAAACTATACTCACATGAGCATCACTTTCAGTATACAACGTGGCATCAAGGTGTACAGACTGCAAGAGGACAAAATTAGCAAGCATGAAACACTATGCATTATTTTAGATAGAATGAGAATAACCCACTGACAATATTAAATTAAGCTTTTAAAATTAAATTCTTTGAGATGATGTTAGATTCATGTGCAATTGTGAGAGACATTACAGAGAGTCCCTTCACAGTTGCCCCCAATCCTGCATCGCCAAGCACAGAGTACAACTGGAAAATTACATTGCTACAATCTGCCCGCCTTGTTCACATCTCACCAGTTTAATGTGCACTAAAGTGTGTGTGTGTGTGTGTGTGTGTGTGTGTGTGTGTGTGTGTAGTTCCATGAAGTTTTATCAGTGGTTCTGTATTTTGGTTATTGTATTTTTCCTTGTCTGTAATTTCCACTTGGTCCCTTTTACATACTGTATTACTCTGCTACGACTTTCTGATTTCCTCTGTTGTTTCAAGGATGTTTGCAGTTCCCAGCTTGTGCATTTTTGTAATGGCTGCATTAGAATCTTTGTCTCGTAATTCCAACACCAAATCCATGTCAGCTTCAGAGTCTGCCGATCTTCTCTTCTCATTCCGGCTGTGATTGTCCTGCTTCTCTCTATAAGGAGCGATTTCCAGTTGCATTCCAGTATTTGGGCTACCACAGTAGGAGACCCTGGGCCTACCTACGTCTTCTACTGCAGCCTGCAGCCACCCTGATTAGGTGTGGCACTCAGGTTCTGATGTGGGCTTCCAGTGACAGCTCAGTTTGCAGGATTTTTGTGGTTTTGACATGGAAGGGTTGGCTCACTTCATGCCCCTGGGACTCCCCTGGGCACTGCCATGTCACCCACGGAGGCAGAAGACCCTTCCTTAAACACAGTTGTCAGTGGCTCCTTTTCTCTGTCCCCAGCCCCCTGCAGGTTATTGCAGGCCTGTGGGGGACTGGGGTGGAGTGGGGATCTCGGGCCCACAGATCAGAGAGCCTTTCCCTGGGCCAGCCCATTCCCCTTGCAAGTGCCAAAAGGTGTCTGGTTTCTGCAGCACAAGCAGTGAATCTGTGGCGTGTGGTGACAAGCTCTTCATGCTGGGCCACTAATAAACTGAGCCGAAAGATAATTGGGATCTGAAAACTGTAAGTAAAATATTTCCTTTGAGGCTTTAGAAGGCTCACACACTTCTACAAAAGTGTTATTGTTTCAAGTGTGATTGGATTAAGACAGACACCCAAACACAGGAAAAGTCACACACCTCAGCAGTGATGCCAGGCTGTTCATGGAAACATAAGTACTTACTTGAACAAGATCTTTAATTGCCTTTAAATCACTCATTACATCATTCCAGTTCGCCTCTGTTTTAGGAAGACTTGCACTGATACAGCTGAAAGCAAAACCAAAAAGGACAGCATTTTGAATGAACATAATACTGTCTTGATGAATACAAAAGGCAAAAGAGCAAGCCAGATTTTTTTATTCTCACAAGCGAAAAGATGAGTGCAATTGTTGCCTTTGTGTGTTCAACAGCCTTGTGGATGAACAGAAACACCAGTCACATGGGGCAACCTTGACACTTGAAGCTAACTTGGGGACTGACCAGCCCAGATGAGAGAAACACCTAATTTGAAGGGATCACTTATAAAAAACTGGGTGCACTTTCTTACAATGAAATGAGAACAGTACCTGGTGTGTGGTAGTGCTCAAGAAATGCTTTTGAATGAATTACTAATTTTTCTTTCAGTAGAAGTCCCACCAGACTCTCAAATCTATTATGCAGGTAAAAATCTTAAAATAAGCAATAACCATTTTTGCAGCATGGTTTTGATTTTAAACGTTCTTGGCCGTGGATTAAACGTGCCCCTTGCGTGCTGCGCACGTCACCGCTCTGTGCGCAGCGGCTTTGCCCGTAAACATCACAGACGTTAGCCCATCGAGGGGGATGCGCTTACTCATATCCTTACTCCTTTTGGCATAACAGAAATTTACTATCTGGGCAAAAGACACATACATGGAACAAGTGGCTTGACGTTTTCATGAAAAATACCTGGGCCCTGACAGATTTTTACAAAAGCACGAGAACCAACACTAATCTTTCTCGCGAGGGAGATTTATCTGCACAAAGCTTTGGTTCCCCACTCCGTGAACTTGCACTGAGTAAGGTTACGGAACTATGGGTTGGGTTTGTAGGCCAACAGGGGCAGTGTACAAGTTCCATCTAAGAAAAAAGAAATGAGTTAATAGGAGTGGGAAATGTGAATGCTTATTGGGAGGAAAAATGAAACACCTAAAGAAAGAAAGAAATGCTTCCAAATGAACTAGGACAGGACTGCAAGGATAGAAGAAGTCAGTGTCAAGAAATAGATTTAAAAAGTAACATGAGTGAGCCTTGTTTGTTTGTTTGTTTGTTTGTTTTTTACTCCAATGAAAATCATGCAGGTCATTAATAAGGATGTACTTCTCGGTACAGTTACATATACCAAGATGTATATTTTACTTTAGTGAAAACCATGTAGAATATTAATAAGGCATGTACTTCCAAAGGTAGTTGTATACCAAGAGGTCCAATCCATCCGCAGGATGTTAACACTCTTTTCTGTGCTTCTGGAATACGGACACGCTCAGCGTTCACCGGACCTTCTCTGAGCCTCCACACTCTGCCCTCTGCCCTACCCCAAAGACTGACTGCAAACCGAGCACACACCGATTCAACAGAGGAAATATTGGAGAAAAATGCCCAAGGCCGTTAGCATGGCGGTATTTATGCCTAAAGATAAAATTACCCCAAAATGAAGATATGAATGCCAGCCTCGGTTAAAAAATGACTGTTCAGAAGTAAACACAAATAGCACTGGATGGACGTACTTCTCAAATGTGGTTTCTGAAAAATATAATCATAGAGAAAATGATTACATTTTTTTAGGTATGAAGTGCTATTTAAATGAATGGTTCATCATTTCTTTAGATCAAAATTTAAAAATTAATGTTCCTTATCAGAATTAATAAAACTGGACTGTACCTTTTTTGCTCCCTCCCCTCCAGCTCTGCCTCTTGTGGGCAATATTCTTTACTATGTTTTTAATACACATGAATTTTAAGAGAATTTACATATTTACTAATAATACCACTAATTTTTTTCTGTTGTCCTTAATCTCCCTCTCCTCTTTTCATTTTTAATAGTTCAACATTTTTAATGCAGTGCATATTAGTAACATAAATTATTAATATGGGCTTATAGTTCTGTATTAATTTCATATGACTATATGAAAATTAATTATGAATTAATATCATCTAGAGAAAAATTGGATAGAAAGAGGGCCAACTGAAGACACTCCATACTATCACGAGAGCCACCACATAATCATATTTCTTGGTGACTTGGAAATAACACTTATCTAAAGACTTCCCAGAGTTTTGACACTTTTGTCTGCCTCCTTCCTGTCACTGAAGCTGTAGCAGACAGTAGTGCGGGCTGTCCCCTCAACCACTCAAACTCTGTGACTCGTTCACTCTATGCCCCAAGGGTGAGGGACAAGCAGACCTTGTCCTCAAAGGCTGAGCATGGCACTGAGGAGATGGGTGTTTAAAGAACAATGGGCAAGATACCAGAAATAGTACATTTGCAGGACATGAAGAACCAAGCTATCGAGGTGGCTCATAGAGTTTAAAAATGTATTATATTTACTTCCCAGATAAGGACAATCCAAGTGTGAACGGGCCTCTGTTACACCCCAAGATCTCGAGAGAAGAGTCATATTATAAAGCAGCTGAGATTTAAGCGACATTTGAGGAGAGTCCATGCACTGCCTTTATCTAAGTATTCTTACCGAAATTCTCATTACTCAATGCCCGGGTGAATCCTTACACATTGAAGAAGAGCTGGCTATGACGATGGGTTCCCAGAAGCCATCCATCCAGAAAACTTCCTATGACACAAGCCAGGGGAAAGGGCGATCCATTAAAAACACAAGTAAATTGGTGGGGGTTGGGAAGAAGAAAGGGAAGTCAGTATTTACTGGGCACCTACTTTTTCATGGGCACTCTAATAGTCACTGAATATGTGCGTCACATTTAATCCCCCAGCAGTCCTGTGGGGCAGGGTCAGCAGCCCCTTGGTAAGCTGCCCCGGACCCACGGCAAGCAGACGGCGGCCAGGATTTGAGACCGGGTCTGATTATAAAGCCCAATCCCTTCCCACTATGTTCAGGTGCTGAATTGGCAAATTCTAAAGTCAGTAGTGAAAAATAGAAGCAACCAAACACACGGCTCCATAGAAACTTCCGATCATTTAATTTACAACAGAAGGAGCCACTTCTGCAGAAATGAATAGAGGTTTTCAGTCTTTGAAATTGTGAAAGAGCAAACCTCAGGCCCCAAATGACATCGCCTGTGGTCGAGCCCACGACAACAAACTTGGATTTAACACCCGACTCCATTTCTGTTTCAAAGTCTCCCGGACATCAGGCCTATCGTCTTCGTCAGCCAGTGTGACGTTTTCCGGTGGACAAGGAGGTAACTGTCACGTGGGGCCTCTGCATCTCCCACAGAAAACACAGCGGGGCTGCCATCCTGCCACAAAGACAGAGGGCCTGGTCTACATACCCCCTCGCTCTTTTGCCCCTAGACGGGGTACTGTCTAATTCATGAGTCAATAAGGCCAAGTAGAGCTTCACATTGACTCAGTTGAATTCTGTTCTTGAACAAAATATGTCACTGTTAACGGAATCATCACTTGAGAATTTTGTAAGTAACACAATTATATGTTTCTCACTCAAAGAAGTGGAGAAGATGATTATACCTTTCCATATCTAATGCCATTTTATTAAAAAATTAAAAGCCAAAACATAAAAACATAAACAATGAGTTTTTTCTCTCATTTTATGTGTTTGTTGACCCCCCAGAGCAAAAATCAAAATCGGCTGCATTCCTTCACATAAGTATTCACTGCGGTTAAATTCTGTAAACTCAAATAAATAATTTTCTTTTCCAGATGAAGCATACAACTCTTAACTGGAAAAACTAGCACTTATCTAGGCACTAAGAAGACACTGTAAAAGTATATCCAACAGGACTTTTCTACAGCATATTCAATATTATCCTTCTGTCACATATGATCGAAGTCTTCCATCAGCTGGCTTAATTGAAGCATATTCTTCTTTTTACTCTCATAACAGTTCTCTGTCTACATTACCTCAGAGCTTCAAAAATGTGTTTAATAAAACTTCAAAGTTATCTTTGTAATTTCACCCAAGATCTCTTAAATCCCCTCCCTCCCTTTTAGCTGTGGTGTCCCAAACTCCATATGGTTCAGAAACAGTATTTATCACCATGGGACTGAGCAGTACTGAGGGTGTTAACAAGGCCTTAGGAAGCTACTGGAGTGAACGATGGTGTTCCCGGTGCCGGGTTTCTGCAGCCGTGCGGGTCTCAGACAAGCAGGTGCCCAGTTCTCACCACCGTCTCAGCGGACTTGCACTCCCTGCTCCGTCCGCCACCTCCAGCCGGTGCACATCAAGGAAGACTAAGGCCTCTCACCAGAATGCTGACGATATGGAGGCCAGTGCAGCCAAGAAGGAAACTTTTACAGCTTATCATTTGGCCACAGAACTGAGGTAGCTTTCTGGGCCCACAGCAAAGAATCGGGATTTCACAGCAGGTTTGGGAGCATTTGCTTTGCCTCTTACTTCCTGGGGAATGATTTTACTAAAAGTGTGTGTGTGCGTGTGTGACCTATGTTGGTCAAAAACGCCTGAAAAGGGAAACTATTCTACCCCTTTCTCTTTGGCCAGGACTCAATGTGCACTATTAATAAAATGACTATCATGATAGTGATATTAATGAGACTAAGTATTGCTTACCTAGTGCTCTCAGGTTTACAAAATTATTCCTGTACATTATCAAATTCAACCCTGACAATATCGTTATGTGAGAGCTATCACTCTTATTATATCGTGAAGAAATAGGTTCTGAGAGGTGAAGTGGTTTGCTTCAGGTAAATGTCGCACATGCAGCCATAAAACATCTCCTTCATGATCCAGGTTGGGCAAAGAGAGGAGGGAAACAAGAAATTTCAAGTTCTGTGGTTGAGAAATGGAGGCCACTCCCTGTAGGAAGTACCTGGCCCATCTCGCCCATCCCATGTGAAAAATAAAAACATGCTGCTCTCTGGGAGTTTAGAAACAGACCTTTAAAAACAGTTCTGATGCAAAACAGAACTCCAGTTCTTCCCTGGGGCATTATCTCATTTGACTGTCACCAAAAAGAAGTGGCTGACACGGAGTGAATTGCTTTATGAGACACAAATACAGGGGTGAAACAAACTGTCCCCTTCCTGCTCTGAGATACTGTTGGAGAACTACGGCAGCAGTGTTTAATCCTGACACACGAATTGCATGTGGTCATAAAATGCCCTCGTGATCAGCATCTTTGGTTTGGCCTTCATTCACCTGGATGCCTGTATCTTGTAATAAAAAAGATGACCTCTCAGCCCACCCCTCAGAGAGTTCACAGGGTTCAGACAGGGATTTTGTGGAATTCCGTGACTGGGTCTCACTGCAGGGTGCTGGCTGGCCCGAAGGCCTGATGCTGACCAGCACTGCCAGCCTAGGGGGACGTCCCTGCCCAGGGGTAACAGGTCTGGAAGAGTGGACAGGCACATTAACACACAGTGACTTGCAGAAAGAACTGTAAACGTGTTCTATTCTATGCCAATACTGTATTTTATCCCGGTGAGAAAACATCATCTAGCACATTGCTATTTTGTTTTACTCTATGTAATTATTTACTTGCCTAGTCACACACGTAATATAAATTTTAATAGACTTAGCAACAAAAGAAGAGTTATGAGTATTGGTTTATGCAGTAAAGACATTTATTTATTCACCCAAAACACTACAAATAAGGGCAAACCAAGGTTGAGTGTAGAATACAAAGAAAGAGAGTACAACTGTCCTTTATTGGCAGGGAGGTCGACGTGGCGCTGTAAGTTCTCGACTATTGCTCTGCTTTTCTCAGTTCATTAAGACTAAATGCTGTCAGCAGAGAAGGAGGGTGAGGAGGATGTGTTTGGGGTTGAGGACAGAAAAGAATAAAAGAAATAGCCATCAAGGTAAGAAAGAGAAGGAACTAATATAAGTATGGGATGACAGCCATGCCTATTGGAAGTCCATGGTCATGAATGGCCAGAAAGTAAGGCTAGTCCGCATGCTCATGTATGCTTCCTCTGGCCACATTAAACTGCAAGGAGTAGTAAGCCAGGAATAGGAAGAAAACTTCATCATGGTGGTGTGTGCCTGTAGGGGAAAGCAAGAGATACAGAGGCAGGAGATTGTAGAGTATATGTCAGGGAGCCTAAGGGAGCTATATCTAGGGAATTTTATTTTCTTTTTATTACAAAACTTCATGGAGAAACTGTTACTGGAATTGCACCTCAAAGAAGGGCAGATAACATTCGAGGTGGAGGAAAAAGCTGGAGCAAGAACACACACAGCCAAGCACAATGCGTATTCAGAGAGAAGTGCTGAGTCATTCTATAACAGCAGGAAAGCAGTGGCAGGTGAGAGTGGACAAAACAGTGGCCATTGTAGAAAGCAGGTGTTGGTAAGCATTTTCTCCAAAGGGCCAGATAGTAAGTACATCAGGCTACGCAGGTCTTGCAGGGTCTGTCATGATGACTTAGGGCTGCTGTTATGGTGAGAAAACAGCCTTGGACAATGCATGAATGAACGGTTGTGTTCCAATATGACCTCATTTGTCAGAACAGACACTCCGTGAATTTGACCTTTAGTGCATAGTTTGTGGACCCATGATGCCTGAGGATTGGTTAATCAGTCTCATTCAAGTACAGCTGAGAAACTGGTATCTTTAAAGTCTCAAATTTTCCTGTCATTAGGAAACTAGCATTTTGCAGTAATTGCTTTCAATTGGCACCCACCTTATAAAAATGTCAAATATAAAATTTCATGAAACAATCTGTGTTCATTATGAACTATGTTACCACGGTTACTACTGTGATTTTTAAAAATTAATTCATACAAATATAATATCTAAAGTTGATATTTACTGCTCTTATAATTCCACACAACATGTTTAATAGGGACTATAAATCTCACAGTTTATTGAAACAACAAAAATAAATGACTAGGTAGATTTTCCTATTTTAGAAATACTATTTTGTACAAGGTTTATAAAATATATGCATTTTTAAATATATATTCTATTATTTTTATTTAATATATTTTATCATTTTTGCTATTACAGTTGTCACAATTTTCCGCCTTGCTCCCCTCTGCCTGTTACCCCCTTCCCTCCAGCAGCTCTCCCGCTTAGTTCATGTCCAAGGTTTGTGCGTATAAGTTCTTTGGCTACTCCATTTCCTATACTGTTCTCAATATACCCCTGTCCATTTTGTACCTACCAATTATACTTCTTAATCCTGGCATCTTTTCCCCTGTTCTCTCCCTTCCCACTCCCAGCTGTTAATATGTTCTGGTTGTTTGCTTAGTTTGTTTTTTTAGATTCAGTTGTGAACTTGTTGCCTTCACAGTTTTGATCTTCTTTTTCTTAAATAAGTCCATTTAACATATCACATAATAATGGCTTGATGATGATGAACTCCTTCAGGTTTACTTTGGAAAGCATTTTATTTGCCTTTCTATTCTAAATGATAGCTTTGCTTGACAGAGTAATGTAGGTTGCAGGTCCTTGCTTTTCATCACTTTTAATACTTCCTCACAGTCCCTTCTTGCCTGTAAAGTCTTCGGAGAAATCAGCTGACAGTCTTATGGGAACTCTTTGTTGGTAACGCTCTGCTTTTCTCTTGCTGCTTTTAAGACTCTCTCTTTATCTTTAACCTTTGGCATTTTAATTATGATGTGTCTTGGTGTGGTCCTCTTTGGGTCCAACTTGCTTGGGACTCTCTGTGCTT